TCATGTAAAGAAGGATTTATCAGGTCATCATTAAGAAGAGCGTTTTCATGTACTTATTATACTAATGTTTCAAAGTGTTTACAAGAAGAGAATGAATTTTGTGCTTTATGTTCTAGAAGGTACAAATTGAGTGATAATAGATTAAGTTGTGAAGAAAAGTCAATGACAGGTATAATTATTGGATGTGCTTTAGCATGTATTGTTATAATGTTAATTATTATCACGATAATATCATTAATTCTTTTCATTAGAATAGAACGTAACCTAAGAAAAAGAAATTCAGAAACAATTTGTGCTTTTAAGATGAAATATAGTAATTTACATTTCTCCAGTATTAATGAAAAGTCATCACTAGTAACAAATAAAAACATTATTCGATTTGATCTTGATAATGAAGTGCTTCCAGTAGGTAAAGAGTCAAGAGATTTGTTTTGTATTGGTAATAAAGGAATTAATAAAATTAAAGTCCAAGTCACTTTAAAAAAATCAAATGACAAATATTTATTGGATATTCAGCCGTCATTGGTTATACTTGATGGAGGGTATGCGTGTGAATTTGAAATTTTTATTCAACCATTTTGCACAACAAAGATAAAAGACAAATTGTCTCTTATTAGTTTTGATATGAAAGAAGGAATTGAAACTTTTAGTAGTATTACTATTAGAACCGAAACAGAAATTACTACAAGACTAGATTATGATGAGTTGGTTCAAGAAAAAAAAATAGGTGAAGGGTCATTTGGGGTTGTCTTTAAAGGAACATACAGAGGGCGTGTTGTTGCTATAAAAAAATTAAAAGAGTCACAAAGTTCTGACAAGGCGTTGATTGAGTTTGAAAAAGAAGCTACTATGTTGGACAAGTTTAGAAGTGATTATATCATTCATTTTTATGGTGCAATATTTATTCCAAATAAGATTTGTTTAGTAACAGAATATGCGTACTATGGATCGCTTCGTGATTTAATTGAGAAGAGGAGTCGCAACTATGTATCACATCATTTAAGACTGAAAATCTTATTAGATGCCTCAAAAGGGATTCAGTATCTACATGAAAATGAAATGCTACATCGTGATATAAAACCAGACAATGTTTTAGTATTATCACTGGATGATAACATTAATATTAACGCTAAATTAACTGACTTTGGATCATCAAGAAATGTAAATTTATTAATGACAAACATGACATTCACCAAGGGAGTTGGAACACCTTCTTATATGGCTCCTGAAATATTAAGTAGATTAAAATATAAAATGCCAGCAGACATTTATTCATTTGGTATGACAATGTACTCTGTATTAAATTGGTCAGAGCCATTTCCAAAACAAAGTTTTAAGTTTGCATGGGATGTTGCAGAGTTTATTGAGTCAGGAAAACATTTGCCTCAATACAATATAAAAGATGAGGAGTATGCTTTGATAATGAGGTGCTGGGAAAATAATCCCAAATCCAGAGAAATTATAGAGAATGTTGTTAAAGACCTAGAAGTTCTTGTTAACAACGATAATAACATATAAAAGAGTTATATTAAAATGGCTTAATTCTTATCATCACTTCTTTGTATATTTATGAACCTGACTTGATTAAGCCGACTTACTAAGATAATTTCATTGCTTGAAAACAAGAATAGAAAAGAAACAACTAACCGTTCAAACGAGAAATAAAAAAAGAAAATAATTAAAAACTGTATAGTGAAAAAACAATTTAATATGGAGTAAAAAACATAATATAATATTCTTTTTGTTGTTTAAGTTTAAAGAAAAAAAAAGGTGAAGTTTATGACATAACTAAAAATAAGATATTAAAAAACTTAAGAAGAAATTATTAACTTAAAATAGAAATTCTGGAAAAAAGTCAGAGTGAAGTTTGAGATATTGATTTGCACTATAAAAACGATGAACTAATACAATTATTTCATTAATTCAAATAAAATATGAGTTTAAAAAGAATTGTTATGCTTGGAACTGGTGCAGTTGGAAAATCTGCAATTACATTACAATATGTTTCACATTACTTTGCTAGTGATTATAATCCTACTATTGAAGATTCATTTAGAACTTCTATTACTATTGGAGATGATAGTTATCCAATAGAAATATTAGACACTGCTGGTCAAGAAGAATTTGATGCTTTAAAAGATACATACATTAGAAGTGGTGATGGATTTGCAATTGTTTATTCTATAACATCATTAAATACTTTCTTAGAGGCTAATGAAATTAGAGAACGTATTTATCGAGTTCTTGACAAAGACGTTACTCAACATATCCCTATTTGTTTAGTTGGTAATAAAAGTGATTTAGAAAATGAACGTATTGTATCAAAAGAACAGGCTGAAGAATTAGCTTGTTTATGGGGTATTTCATTTATTGAGACAAGTGCTAAAAAGAAATCAAATATCAATGAGTTATATCAAATTATAATGAAAGACATTATTGATACAAAAACTAAAGAAGATGAAGAAAAAAAGAAGCTTAAAGAACATGAGTCAATTACTAAAAAGTCATCAAAAAAACAAAAGGATGGTAAAAAGTTTTATAAAAAAATTGGATGTTCTGTTATGTAAAAACATTTATCTTTTACATTTATAAAGAAGATAGTTTAGACTATCAATTTACATAGCCTTGTTGCTTTTATTCAATATTTTTTTAAATTTATTATTATTCTTTTATTAAAATGAGTTAACGATAATAAGAGAATGAGTCATAAAGGTAGTTAATAAAAAGAAGTTAAGTTATATTTATTAATAAATATCTTTGAAAATTATTAATTTGATCTAATTAACAAAATTCACGTTGCCTTTGTATGTCTATAAAAAACAAAATACTACATGAACTTTCCTATTTTATTCAATAGACCCAACTACAAAATGCACTAGAGCATTATTTAATCAAAAAGAGCATACCTATTAAGCTATATTCCAATAAATAATTTTGGAAATGTTCAATAAATTAATAACTTGACTAAAATGACTTGTAAAGAAAAGATTATTGTTTTATTTAAAATGAAAATAAACAATATTCTCCATTCATGGTTTTTAATAAACCAATAAAATAAAAAATAAAGAAAATAAAAAACAAAATAATAAATAAATAGATAATTAAATGGTAATAAAATCGTCATTTATTCATTGATTATTGGATATTATTCACATTATATATCATTAAAATGAGTAGTTCCTTTGTTTTATTTATTATTTAGATTTTCTTTTTGTTTTATTTCTTTTATTATTTTTTCATTCTTCTTTCATTTTATTTCTTCTTTGACTTTTACTTGAATTTTAATGAATTTCATCTTTCTTTATTTCTTATTTTATGATGAATGAATATTTCATTATCATTATATTATTGAATGAACATTTCATTATCATTATATTATTATGATAATTTTATTTATTATTAATATCTTCATTTATTTCTTTTTCTTTTTTTTATTATTCTTTCATATTATCTTATTTCATATTAATAAATACCAATTCTTCTATTATAATAATTAATATTTCATCATAATAATTCACTACATTCTTTAAAACAGTGACTAATACATTTTCTATTCAAAGACAACATCATAACCAGATAATAACTGATAATTCAAGACTTGAATTTGTTTTAGGGTTTATATGATGTTTTTGATATACCAAACTTTAAATCAAAAGTGAAACATCTTATAATAAATACAATAAAATTTCTATTTGTTAGTTCTATCATCTTTTTATCATAATAATAAAAGAACTATAAAAATAATAAAAACAATTCATTAATGGAAGAAGACGAAGAAATCACATTTGATTCAACAAAATATTCTGATATTGAACCAATTTATTGTACAACTCCACCGGTATGTTCCATTAATTATTCAAAAATTTTTAAAGAAGTAATGGGGTATTATAGAGCATTAACGGCTAAAGGAGAATTATCAGAGAGAGCGTTAGAAATTACAGGTAAAGTGATTGAACTGAATAGTGCAGATTATAGTGCATGGTATTATAGAAGGAGAATATTAAAAAAAATAGAAGGAACTTTTGATGTAAATAAAGAGTATGAATTTATTGAAGACTTAGGAGATAGTGTTTGTAAAAACTATCAAGTTTGGGGTCATAGACAATATCTTGTTGGATTGACTGGTAACTATCTTAAAGAGTTGGACTTTACTGATAAAATGCTTGAAGATGATAATAAAAATTATCATTGTTGGAGTCATAGAGTTTGGGTATGTAATAAATTTAATTGTTGGGTTGGTGAATTAGCATATACCCAAAAAATGATTGAAAAGGATATTAGAAATAACTCTGCTTGGAGTCATAGATTTTATACTCTCAAATCATTAAATTTATTAAATGACTTAAACCAACTAAAAGGAGAGTTTAATGTTATTGAAAAATCATTACACCAATCATCTAATAATGAATCTGTATGGACTTATTTAACTGGTTTATATGAAAATAGTCAAAATATTGAATTTAAACGTGAATGCGAATCTTTTGTTGAAAGAATGATTACCGAACGTCAATTTTGTGTTTATGTAAAGATGGCTTATGTCAATATTTTTAAGTCTTCTCCAAAGTGTGTTGAATTAGTTTTAGAATTACGTGATCGCTTAGACGTTGCTCATCAAAGTTATTGGGATTGGTATTTAACAAAAATTACTAATCATTAATATTTCTTATTTTTGCTCTTTATTTTAAATTTTTTTCTCTTCTTAGTTTTTCCTTGTTTGACCACTCAAAAATATTTTTTGTTATTTCTTCCTTATAATTAATAATTAATTAAATATTTTTAATATGCTGTTTCATAAATAGAAATTTTTTGTTATTTATTAAATCTTCGTTTTTTTTTATTTTGCTTTTTTCGTTTAATCTTAGATGATTGTTATATATATCAAAATAAACTAAGAAAAAGAATTTAATTAAACAACAAAATTCAGTAATAAAATACATAGATGGAACACATCAAAGAATTACAAAAAGAACGTGTGAGAATGGAAAAAAGACTTGAAGAATTAACAAAATATTTAAACTCTCCAGGAATCAAAGACTTCAAAGAAGTAGATGAAGAAGGATATCCAAATCCAGATAGTGAGATGATTATATCTTTAAGAAAGATTAAGCATGAATTTAATTGTCTTGAAACAGACTATAAAAACTTAATGAATGACCTAACTCAATCACTATATCAAATCCATGAAGAGGCATTACGTTATGAACAAAATAATCAACAGGGAGAAAAAATAACATATGATGTTCAACCATTAGCTATTATTAAAAAAATTGATTATGATTCTCCAGCAGAAAAAGCTGGTTTACAAGAAGGGGATATTATTATTGCTTTTGGTGGATATAAATTAAAATCTGGTGATAAGCCACTACAAAAAATAGCAGAAATTACTAACCAATATAGTGGAACAAATGGAATTGAAATTGATATAACAAGAAAAGGAGAAATATTAAGAACAAAATTATATCCAGACCAATACAATGAACATACTCATTGTGGATTTTTTATAATTCCTTACTAAATAACTCATACACATAAAAAATTAAATTGAATTAAAAATCAGTAAATTTAATTTAAAAGAACTTTTTTTGATTGTGCTTCTTTTAATTCACTTTCAGTAAAAGTAATACCAACTCTTGCTTCTGCATGAAAAGGATGTCCCATTAACTGAATTCCTGTTGGCCTTTGATAAGGATTATATTTGAGTACGGAGTTAAGTAATTCAATTAATCCTTGGGGGTATGAATAAACAGATAATACAGAATCTATTCCAATACCAGTTACTTGAGGTGTTCTAAATACAGAAGTATTTCTGTTCATAGCATAAATTTGTTCTGCTGATGGATTACCTAATACTTTCATAATTTTTTTTAATTGGTCAGTACTATTATCACCTCTAAACAATGGCTTTCTCATTACCATTTCTGCAACAACACAACCAAATGCCCAGATATCAACAGCAGTAGAATAATGTGTACAGTCAAATATTAGTTCAGGTGCTCTATAATACCGAGAACAAATATAACTTATACTTGATCCTTTAGGATCAAGTTGTTTTGCACTTCCAAAATCACATAATTTTAAAGTATTATTGTCTAAGTCAATCAATACATTTTGAGGTTTAATATCTCTGTGGCATATTCCCAATGAATGAATATAAGTTAATGACCGAATAAGTTGAAACGAAAATGATTTGATTTGTATATTTTCTAATTTCTTTTCAGAAATTACTTGATATAAATTATAAGGCATATAATCCATAACAATATTTAAAATATAATCATCTTTATTATTTGGTATTTTTGAGAAAAATGAGTCTTTTAATTCCAATACATTGACATGATGTAATAATTCCATAATAGGTAATTCTCTATTCTATTTTAATTACTTTTTTATTGTTTTTTTCTTTAATAACAGAATTACTATTTATAACAAACTTTATAATGATGGTCTTGAACAACACGTTTTAATGCAACTATTTCTCCTTTAGAATCTTTTGCAACAACAACAATTCCAAAAGTTCC